GAAATGTGTAAATACATAGACAAAAACATAGCAAGAGGGTTCATCAAGCTAGCCAAGCCACGGGTCAAAGAGCAAAAAGATGGGAGACCTATTCAAAGAGCAAAAAGATGGGACCATGAGATTATATGTGGACTTTAGAGCTATAAACGGTCTGTGTGTGCACAATCTATACCCCCTCCCGTTCATGAAGAACATGCTATCTCACCTAGCCAAGGGGAAGGTCTTTACCAAATTAGACCTTAGAGAAGCATACTACTGAGTCTGCATCAGGGAGGGAGACAAATGGAAAACAGCATTCAACTGCCCTCTAGGGCAGGGGTCACCAACCTTTTGGACCTCAGGGACCACCAAACTCATAATTTTAAATTTCATGGACCAGACACCCTGGGAAAATCCCCCAAAAGGTCTGTAGGAAAATTCCCCACCCCACCTTGCAGGATCCCTAAGACTCCTTTCTGGTGGAGTTTGGGGGTGAGAAAGAAAGACTTTTGCTGCTTTCCTTGCGTGCAGCCAAAAGCAGAAGAAAGAAGCAGAAAGAAGCAGCCCGGTTGCCAGGCCAGGTGCATGGGGTGTGTGGGGCAAGTTTCCCCCTCCCTTTCCCCCCTCCCCTCACTAGCTCATGTTGTTCACAATGCAAGCGATACAAGCCTTGTGTTCCCATGGTCCATGTGGGCGGCGCAGCCTTGCATTTCCACATAGCCTGGATTAATTGCTTTGGAGGTGACATTTCTCTGTGGACCACCAAAATTTTCTTGCAAACCTCCTAAAGACAGGGAGCCCAGGAACGAAACCCCACCCAGGACAACCCCTACAGTGGGACCTAACCTGCCAAAAAGCATTTGAAACACCAAAAGAACTGTTTGTGAAAAAACCAGTGCTGAAGCATCCTGACCCCGAACAACCCTTTGTCATTCAATTGGACTCTACTGGCATGGCAGAGGGAGCAGTATTACTCCAAAAAAAACGACCAAGGAAGCTTACAGCTGTGTGCCTACACCTCCCCCAAGCTCACGGTCACAAAGAGATGATAGGCTTCATGGGAAAAAGAGTCTTTCACAGTGAGATGGGCACTGCAAACCTGGCTCCACCTGCTGGAAGGTGGGCAGAGACCATTCATAGTCTGGACTGACTATAAAAATCTGGAAGCCCTTAGGACCCTGTGAAAACTATCACTGTCAGGTGGTGCTCCATTCAAAATTCAAGAAAGAAATACTTAGACTTCTTAGATTAGAGAAAAGATATCTTTTACTGAAAATGAAGTGGTAGCAACCATAGAATTCTGAATCTGGGAAATTAGGCGTGCAGATCACATATACAAAGTGATGGAAATGTTCCCACCCCCAATAGTTCAAATGATTCTTCCAATTAAAAGTTGTGAATATGATCATGTGGACATCTTCAGGTGGTGATGAGGCCTCTGTCCGTTGACCTTGGCATAGTTTGATAAAGGTTTGCAGTTGCGCAGAGAAGAGAAAGCTAAGCGAGAAATAGAAACCTAAGCAAGAATTTATACTCCCCCCTCCTCATTTTATACAACACTAGAATGTAACACCTCCAGCTCGCTTCCCAGACTTTACCCCCTCCTCCCCCTGTTACTTATGGCAGCCAAAAGATGCAAAGCAATAGTAGAAGATCTTGAAGGCTGACATTCGGCCCTCCTAGAAAAAAGACGTTAGTCCTACAAGAGAAAAAGGAAGATAAAAGATACTAATTAATAATCAGTTAAATAAAATGGATACATTTCTAGGGTTCATCAGGATACTTTGTATGAAAGGCTTTGATCAGTTTAGGGGCTCTAACATTTTTTCATTGACCCACTCAGCTTGGGAAGAAGGGAAGTGTTTCCAAGCTACGAGATATTGGAGCCGACCCCTCCATTTGCGAGAGTCCAGAATTTCTTTAACTTCAAAATGTTGTTCACCTTCGATCAGCAATGGTATAGGAGGATCAGTCTGGGTTGGTCTTAAACCAGAAGTATGTTCAGGTTTTAACAAACTAACATGGAAGACCAGGTGGATTCGTCGAAGAGTTTTCGGTAACTTCAGTTGGACTGTCACAGGATTTACGATCCGTTCAATCGTGAAAGGACCCACATATTTAGGACCAAGTTTCTTCGACTTTTGAGTGGTTTGTAGATATCTGGTGGACAAGAAAACTTTGTCGCCCACTTGATACGGTTTCTGTGGAGTTCTCTTTTTGTCTGCAAACTTCTTATGAGATTGATGTGCGTCATCTAATGCTTTACGAGTGACTGGCCAGTTAAGTTGGAGTTGAGATATCCATTCGTCTAATGACTGGATGTTAGGCCTTTCACGAGGAAGTTCAGGTATGGGTACAAAATCTTGCCCTGATGCCACTTTAAATGGGGTAAACCCAGTACTACTATGTACAGAATTATTATATGCCACTTTGGCAAATGGCAATAGGTCGGCCCAATTATCCTGCTGATAATTTATGTAACATCTAAGGTATTGTTCTAACACTGCGTTAGTTCTCTCACAGGCCCCATTGGTTTGGGGTGGGTGGGCGGAGCTTAAGCCTTGGGCGGAGCCTATTAACTTCAGGAACTCCCTCCAAAAGTTCGAGGTAAATTGAACCCCTCTGTCAGAAATTATACGTTCAGGAACGCCATGTAATCTATAGATATGTAGTATAAACAGTTTAGCCAACGTTTTTGCAGATGGAATCTTGGAACAAGGTATGAAGTGTACTTGTTTGGAAAACAAATTGGTTACCACCCAAATAACCGTGTTTCCGGTGCTTTTGGGTAATTCCACTATGAAGTCCATAGAGATTTCCTTCCACGGAACCGTTGGTCTAGCCACATTTTGTAGCAGCCCTGCTGGCTTACCAGGAGGTCTCTTTGCTGATGCGCAAATTGAGCAGCTAGCCATATAAGTCTCAATGTCCTTCTTCAACGTGGGCCACCAGAATTGCCGCTTAACCAGGTGTAAGGTTTTCACGAATCCAAAATGGCCAGCCGCTTTAGAATCATGAGCTTATTGTAATATTTGGCTTCTCGGTGTTTCTGGTACATACAGCTTCATTCCCATCCAGGCCAAACCATTTCTAACTGTACAGTTATTCGAATGAGCCAGGAACCAATCATCAAGTTTTAGGGCTTCTTTTAATTGTGCAGTCAAATCATTCAATAAATCCACTTCTTGTTTCTTCTTTTAAGCTCTAGTGACCACTGGGGCGGCTAGCTGTTTGGTTGAGACAATCAGCCATATCACTTCCTGGCGAACACTATTATATTGAGGCAGTCTAGATAAAGCATCCGCCATGAAATTCCTCCCCCCTGGAATGTACTTCAATGAGAAGTTAAATTGCTTAAAGTACTGGGCCCAGCGAACTTGTTTAGGGGACAGCTTCCGAGGCATTTTTAAGGCCTCCAAATTCTTATGATCAGTCCATACCTCAAACGGGTGTTTTGCTCCTTCCAAGAAATGTCTCCAAGTCAATAGAGCCCAGCGAACTGCAAAAGCTTCCTTTTCCCATACGGCCCACCTTCTTTTGGTTTCAGATAGTTTACGGGAGGTATAGGCACAGGGTTGTAAAGTTCCTTTCTCATTGATTTGAAGTAATACTGCTCCCACAGCCACATCACTCGCATCGGCTTGGATCACGAAAGGAGCATCCATGTCCGGATGCTTTAGCATTGGCTCTGCATCAAACAGTCGTTTCAGCTTTTCAAAGGCTGCTTGGCACTCCATGGACCACTCCAGCGGTTTGCTAGGCCTTGGCTTCGCCTCCCCTTTAGTTTTTAGGAGATTCGTGATAGGCATTGCTATCTTAGCAAAAGCTGGGATAAATTGCCGGTAAAAATTGGTGAATCCCAAGAAACTTTGAAGTTGTTTTCTGGTGCGTGGGGGGGGCCCATTCCAACATGGCACGCACCTTCCCTGGATCCATTTCTATGCCCTCATGTGAGATGCGATACCCCAAATAGTCAATTTTCTCTTGATGGAACTCACATTTGGACAGTTTAGCGTACACTTTGGCGGCTCGCAGTTTCTGTAGGACTGACCGCACTAGTTTCACATGTTCATCCCAAGTTTCCATGTAGATAAGGATGTCACCAAGGTAAACCAAAAAACCCTTGTATAAATGTTCATGTAACACCTGATTGATCATCTGCATGAATACGGCTGGGGCCCCCTGTAGGCCAAATGGGAGAACGTTGAATTGGAAACAACCCATCGGGCAATTAAAAGTGGTTTTCCACTCATCTCCTTCCTTAATTCGAACTTGGTAGTACGCTTCTCTCACGTCCAATTTCATGAAAATCTTTCCCTTGCCCAGGTGGGCCAGTATGTCCTTCATCAGGGGAAGGGGGTACATGTTTTCCACAGAAATGGTGTTCAAATTTCTATAGTCCACTACCAAGTGCTTGGAGCCATCTTTCTTCTCATGGAACAGCACTGGGGCCGCTACCCGGGGTCTAGCGGGTTGGATGAAACCGGGTTTCAAATTTTTATCAATAAATTATCTCAGCTCCTCTAATTCCCATGGTGTCATCGAATATAACTTCGGTTTCGGGAGCTTCACCCCAGGTAAAATTTCAATGCTACAATCTGTTGATCAATGAGGGGGAGCTCATCTGAGGCATTTTCACTGAACACTTCTTTTAAATCCCAATATTCCTTCAGAATTTTCTCCTTCCCCTCCAAGTTCTCGGTACCTGTGGAGGCTAACTCAACCGGATTTTGAGACTTCAACTGAGATCGCCCCTCCCTTTCCGGTCGCTGGTTGGTACGTATGCGTAACGACCCCTTCCTCCAGTTAACATGGGGGTTCCATTTCCGGAGCCATGGTAATCCCAGTATTAGCGGTTGCTCCATCCCAGGGGCCACAATAAAACACAGGGTTTCTTTATGCTCTCCCGTGGTCATTTCTATGGGTTCCGTTATGAAGCGTGCAGGGCAGCCCCCCGCCACTGCTACTGGTTTTAAGAGACTTCCCCATATTTTTTTCAATTGCCTAACAGTCCCTAAAACTTTCTGAAGTCTCTCTTAGTTCCTCAATTCTAGCTGGAGTTATTTTTCTACTCCCTGCACTAATCAAGTGTCCAAGATATTTGATCTCTCTCTCTCTACATACTATAATTTTAAATTTGATGTGGCATGGGTTGATTTTTATTTCTGATTTTGAAATTCGAATTCTGGCTAATGTAGCATCCCAGAGGGATTATTCTTCAAGATGTCCAGGATGTCCCAGTATCCACCAAAAATTCAATTTCTCAATTTCTTGGTCCCACTTGCAACTTTATCCAGTGGTCTTGGTGGAACTTCAGATGACATATTTGACATATTTTATATTTGACATATTTTATTTTTCCGTCATCTAATTTTCTCTGTTCCTCCCTCTCTCTCTAGCTTTAGTAAATCACACACATTTCTCCATGAGAGCTTTCTCATTTCCTGGTACATGCAATTTCTTTATATGAAAGTACTCTCCTTTTAATCTGGGATGGGGGTCAACACACAGACATTTACACCAATGTTTATTTTTTTTCTCTTCAACATCAACGTACTCACACATTTATACTGTAATCAGACTGTTTGCATAACCAATTTCTCACACAAAAATTTCATTTCATTCTTTCTCCAAGCAAATCAATCATTACTTACAATTCTTTTCTGAGAGCTTTTTCTCACAAGCCAATGAGCTCCATTTTTTTTTACTGTTGTTAGAGGGTCTCATCCTCCAGGTATGGAAATGATTACACACAGACACATTCACAGACACAACATTTCCAGACCTGGGGAGGTTTTGTCCCTCTAAATCTCCACTTTTTCTTTCTCCAGCAATGGGTTGTTGCCACTTCCCTTTTTCTTGATTCAGGACTCCAAGAGCCATATTAGTCTTTGAGTCCACATACAAATTGAAAGATTTCTCAAGGTTGGGAAATCCCATAACAGGATCTTGAGATGCTAATTATTTTTTAGTCTCAAAAACCTGTTTTTGTTCACACGTCCAAACAAAGGGTTCCCTTTCTCCCCCCTTTGTGGACTCATAGAGTGATTTGGATAGCAGAGCAAAATTTTCACAATAGCCTGCTGCTTAAAAAAACTCCTGTCGGTTGGTTCTGTAATCCAGCACACAACTTCCTTTTTCTCATGTCCTATAGCTCTGTGGCCCTAACTTATAGTATAACCTAAGTATTTAACTTGAGGTTTCACTATTTGGGCTTTCTTTCTTATTGTTTTAGTGAACTTCTCACTTTTACTTGACGTTACACTCATTGTTAAGCACGAGATTTTTACTACCTGTCTCTGCCCTGGGTGTTCTGTCCCTTATCTTTCTAGTTTGGATCTCCCAGACGATGCTGGCTTATTTTTAAAGATCAAGATCTATAGAGACCTTCTTTCACACCTCGTTTGCACCTGGCCAGGGCTCTCATGAGCAAGTTTGAACTCCACTTTTCTTTTTAAAGACAACTTTTACTGTTTAACCTGTCCCCATGGGCTCCATGGAGAACACGGCCCTAATCTTACCAGTTCCAGATAGAAACTCCTATGCCTGTTTCTAAATATAACACTAACCTTACCTATTTCTCAGTCCTTAAGGAGTTTCACATATTTTCTTCTTTAGCCAAAAGTATTTTACTATCTGCTGGGGGCTCAGGACCCAACCTACATTTGCTTGTTTCCCCCAGATGATCCTACCTGTATTGTGGTTCCTCAATTATCTATTTTGCCATTTTTCAATGCACAAATTTATCATTCTGTTCTTACTTAAACTTTTAGTCCAGGGGAGTAGGTTTTCCTCACTCCACTGGTTCAATAACTGCTCTAAAGGGTATTTTCACGCTCTTACGTGTTAGAGTCACCCCTAAGGGTTCGCTCTACCTCCTGCAGCAAGAAAGTTAGCTGCAACAACTATAAGAATTCCCCATTCTTGTTGAGATTCTCTAACCTGTGTAACTGCCCCTCCTATAACTTTGCCTTCCCCAGCTTCCTCCCAGGGGTCTTCGGAGGCCCCTCTGAAAATGCCCTCCTCTTCCACCTGGTCCCTCTCCTTATTCCTTTCAGGACATTCACCCTTCCAATGTCCTTCCTTTTTATAAAGGGCGCATTGGTTGCGTCCTAACCCTGGTCTGCCGCCCCTCGGCAGACTAATTCCCCTACCCTTAAAGGTCCACATCATAGCTGCCACCATTAGCTCAGCTTTTCGTTGCATTTTTTGATCCTTTTTTCTTTCCTCCTTCTTTTCCCTATTCACAAAGACTTTCCTCGCCACTTCCATGAGCTCACTCATGGGCTTACCTATGGGAGGCCACCCCAACCCAAATGTTGGCCACTCTCCCTCACAGAACACCTGCAGTTTATGCCTGCTCCATTCAAGGCCATAGTCCTGAGATTCATATGCTTCCTTAAAGTGTTTTAGCATACACCCCAATGGGGTTAGGGGCACAGTCACCAATGGGAACCACAGTAGTCATTCACGTCAGTCACTCCTGACAGATCCTCCCACCTTTACCTAAGAGAGGGTGATCAGTCCTCTCCTCCGTCCCTGCTTACAGGGAGGGATTATTTTCCCAAATTCAATACTTGCCTGCAGGCATCTTCCTTCTCCACCAGCCGGCTGGAAGATGTCCTGGTCTCCTCACCTTTCACCTGTGGTTCTTGGAGGTGTCAACCGCCGCTGCCAGAACAGGGCAGTCTCGCGAAGTCCCTCGGATTCAAAGGACCGATGGCGCCTGGGATGTTCCCTTCAACTCACCCAGTCGCTGGCACCCGGGGTGAACCCTCCAGCGGGCCTCAGGGCCCCTTGTGTCCCGGCGGAGTCGCCATAAATGTTGCAGCAGATCCTGTTTCCAAATCAGGACACAAGACCATGAAAGGTTGGAGAATACAGGTTTTTATTTGTGCACAAAAGTTCAGAGCATTAGCATGGCAAATTCTGAACCCCTGGCTCTTCCTGAGGCATTACTTTTATACATTTCATAACCTCAGCCTAGCCCGGGGTGTTTCTTATGTTAAACTATACCAAAAAAGGAGAAGTACATATCTGTTATTTTCCAGACCCATCCTTATTCACTGAAACATGCTTACTTCCAGTTCCTTAGTTCAGCAATTTCATGGTTTTGCACAATATTTCTATAAGAAGCAAGGTAAGGGGTCAGAGGATTTCTGGTAAATGCATATTTTGTTTTTGACCTTCCAAGGTGCTTCACATCCAATTGGCAAAAGGCTATGGACGTTTTTAAAGGTTTTAGTTTTAAGCCCATTTCCTCTACTACTCTTGTGTTGATTACACACCTTGTGCACCCAGAGTCTAGCAAGGCTAGCATCTCCCCTTTGGCCCCTGATGTGGGTACCCTCAATTTCACTGGAATGGTCATAGGGCCCTTGTTTGGACTTACCAGGAAGTCATCTTCCGAGTCAGATTCACTCTCTTCAGAGGAGGTCGGAGGTCCCAGCTCCTCTCCTTCCGGAGGGGTGACCTCTACAACCTCCCTCGTCTTTAGCGCGGTTTCACGAGGCTTCGCTGGGGTTTCTTCAGGCTTCCTCCCTCCTTTTGGCGCCCCCTTTGGATCCAACTTGGCCCTGCAGTCCGCAGCCCGGTGACCTTCCTTCCCCCATCGGAAGCAGGCAGTGGGTTTGGGTCTTGCTGCCACCCCTCCCTTCTGGGCCTTGGGGGCCTCTTGGAGACGTGGGGGGGAGGCTTGCTCCACCCAGAGCCCCCCTGGCATCTGCTTTGGGTTAGATCAATTTCCACCTCTTCTGCCAGCAAGTACCACATCTGCAAGTCATTGGGGTCCCTTCTGGCAATGCATCTCTGGTATACATCTTCATTTAATCCATCTTTAAACGCTTCTATCAGGGCTCCCTGGGACCAGCCTCGGATATGACACGCCAGCTGTCTAAACTCTTGGGTGTAATCGGCCACTGATCTCCGCCCCTGATTTATGGTCTTCATCCTGATCCTGGCCTTTCGCTCCGCCAGTGGGTCCTCAAATCTTGCCTGCAGCACAGTCATAAAAAGGTTATAATTCAGCAGCTGGGGGGCATTATCATTATGCAAAGTCACCATCCACTCTGCAGCTATTCCCTCCAGAGCCCTGGTAACACATCTCACTTTGGCTGCTTCTGAGGAGAATTCCTCCCCGTATTCTTCCATATAACTCCAAACTTGTGCTAGGAAAAACCCTAAGTCTTTGGGATTTCCTCCATATTTTACTTCTAGCAGAGGCAGCTTGGGAGTTCTACGTCTTCTAGGGATTACACCTCCCGCTGGGCCCCCCGGGGCTGTTGCTGGCTGTTGCGCTGGCTCAGGTTGATTTATGGGGGTGGGGGCTGCTCGGCTTCTTCTGGCTGGGGCTGCTCCCCCTTCCCTTTCATACCTTTGTGCAGCATGGAGTTGCCCAAACGCCTCATTGAGGAGTTGCCTGGTTTGATCCAGTAAAAGCTCTCTCTTTTCCCTCTCTTGCCATGGCTCCTCTCTTCCATGCCGTCAGGTGATGGTGATTCCAGGGCAGGGGGACACTCCTCCGGATCCTTCCAGCCAACTCCCAATGACCATCTGGGCTTCACAGCTGAGATCTCTTCCAGATTGAGCTCCGCTAACAATTCAGCTTCTTGTGCCTCCTCCAGCAACAAAGACTCTTGCCCTCCAATGGTGCCCAGGTCCTCCTGGTTACTAGTTGGAGATGACATGATGTTCAGACCCCCTCGGAAGAAACTGGATATTTTCTCCGGGTGGGCTGGTAGAGTGAGATTCAGAATAATGTCAGGTGGTGCTCCATTCAAAATTCAAGAAAGAAATACTTAGACTCCTTAGATTGGAGAAAAGATATCTTTTACTGAAAATGAAGTGGTAGCAACCATAGAATTCTGAATCTGGGAAATTAGGCGCGCAGATCACATATACAAAGTGATGGAAATGTTCCCACCTCCAATAGTTCAAATGATTCTTCCAATTAAAAGTTGTGAATATGATCATGTGGACATCTTCAGGTGATGATGAGGCCTCTGTCCGTTGACCTTGGAATATTTTGATAAAAGTTTGCAGTTGCGCAGAGAAAAGAAAGCTAAGCGAGAAATAGAAACCTAAGCAAGAATTTATACTCCCCCCTCCTCATTTTACACAACACTAGAATGTAACACCTCCAGCTCACTTCCCAGACTTTACCCCCTCCTCCCCCCATTACTTATGGCAGCCAAAAGATGCAAAGCAATAGTAGAAGATCTTGAAGGCTGACAATCACCCAAACAAGTCCACTGGGCTCAATACTTCAACTGATTTGACTTCATGCTAAAACACATCCCGGGGGGAGGAACTTTCTATCTGATGCCATCTCCTGCATGCCCCAGTACAAATGTGAATGAGAGGAGGTCATGAATGCCATCATCCCCTTTACATAAATAGTAACCAAGTAACCACCAGAAGACAACACCACAACTGGCAAGACCAATCCGTAAGCAACCTAACCATGAAACTGAAAAGTGAAATGCTAGCAGACCCCTGGTTCCAGGACAATCAACACACTTTGACAAAAAGAGATGAACTAGCATTGAAGGGGATGAAACTCTACATCCCAGAATCCCTATGCAACCTAGTCCTCTAGAGGAGCCATGATATCAAACCAGCAGGTCATTTCAGGTTCTTAAAGACTAGCTCAAAGGCAATTCTGGTGGCCCGGCATAAAGAAAGACGTGGACAGTTATGTGAAGAGTTGCACCATCTGTGCTGCAATAAAAAAATGACCAGGAAACCACTACCCCAGACTGCTACAGCAGAGCCAACGAGGCCATGGGAGAAGATCGCAATGGACTTCATAGTGGAGTTACCAAAAAGTGGGGGAAACACAGTTATTTGGATTGTAATGGATTTATTCTCCAAACAGGCACATTTCATATCTTGCAGTGGACTACCCTCAGCTCACCAGTTAACCAAGCTGTTCCTGAAGCACATCTACTGCCTGCATGGAGTACCACGGAGAATTATCACAGACAGTGGGGTCCAGTTCACAGCTATGTTCTGGAGGGAGTTCCTACAGTCTATTGGGTCTTTCATCTGATCACCAATGGGGAGACAGAGGGACTGTATGCCATGGTGGAGCAATACCTGAGATGCTACGTGAATTATCAGCAGTCCAATTGGACAGATTTCCTCCCATTCACAGAGGTTCCATACAATAATGCTGTTCACAGCAGCATGGGACTAACCCCTTTCAGAGGAGTGAGTGGTATGGATGTCATCCCAATGCCTGAGTATCCAAGGGATCCTGCCTCAACAGTCAGTCTGACTGATAGGATGTCAACACAGAAAGCAACTTGGGAGAATGTTTAAAAAGTGCTGGCTAAAGCGGCGCAGACTTATAAGAAACAGGCAGATAAACACCAAGCACCGCAATGACCATTCCAATTTGGGGAGAAGGTTTACCTGTTCACCAAATATCTGAGGTTAAAACTTCCTAGCAAGAAACTGGGGCCAAAGTTTATTGGACCATTTCTCATAGTAAAGATTATCAATCCAGTCATGGTGCAATTG